TGCAGGCAGACGGGCAGAGAGGCTATATGCAGGCCTGCTCCTGGTGGTGATAGCAGGCGCTGATATAGAGACGCCGGCCAGGGTCAACCGCCGTGACGGTCGAGTTTGATATATCCTTCAACCACCCACACACTATATACGGATTACTCTCTCTCTCTCTCTCTTTAACTCAATCTCCACGAAGAATTGAAAAAAAAGGGCAGAAGAAGAAAAGAAAAGAAAAAAAGGTTCAAAGGCTGGTTATGTTTTTTTTTTTTCCTTTTCTTTTCTTTTCTTCCCCAACTTTCGATATCTCCTCTCTGTCACCCCCCTGGATGAGGGTTAGTGGCCGGTGAAGCCTTGCCCTGCCTTGCCTCTCCTCTCTGCCTCTGCCTCTGTCTCTGTATCTGTCTCTTGGTCCATGCAGGTCAAGGCAAGGTCTGCGTCTTCGTCTTCGTCTGCTTCTTCAGGTTTTGCCTTCTCGCGTGCTCTGTCATACCCTCTCTTTGCTTCTTCCCCTTATCGACTCTCCGGCATCCCCAGAACAGGGGGTCCCTCTCTGGCTCTTTTGCAGACTTATTCTTCTTCCTCTTCCTCTTCCTCTTGTTGACTTCTTCGTTGCTTTTTCCCTTTCTGTCTCTCTCTCTCACTGTGGTTTTCGCCTCTCCCCCGTTGGGCCCCTTTTCTCGGTTCAAGGCCGACCCAGAGCGATGGCAGCAAGAAGTCTACAGAGATAACCCTACCTTTTAACTTAGGTACAGCGGCAAGACGAAGAAGCAGAAGCAGAAGAAGAAAAAAATCCTTGTCCGGGGCGGATCTTCCCCCCCATGGGAAGCCCACGTTGAAGGCATATCGTCTGCGTGCAGCTCCATCTCCAGCATCCATCTCGACCGCTGCCCAGCCAGTGACAGGCCTGCTAATTCAGCGAGCTAGCCTTGCCTCCGCTGCCTCTGCTTCTTTGCTTCTTCCTCGCCGTCGTCTTTTATGGTTTTTGCTCTATATTTGCTTCTTCCTGTCTTTTCTCTTTCTTCCCTGCCCGGGCGTTTCATGGGCCTTCTTCCACTGCCCTCTCTGCCCTCTTCTCCCCTCTCTCCTCTGTCTCCTCTGTCTCCTCCTACTTTGACTTATCCTTTTTAACACTCGCTGGCTAGCCTGCCAAGATAGGCCCTTTCTTTGCTTTTCTTTTCTTTTGCTCCCTGCGATGGTCTATCAAGCTTGTTCGTTGGTGATAGCATCTTAACTTACTACCGGCTGCTATATATATATACATATATATATATATCTCCCTGCCTTTCCCTCCCCCGCCGGCCGGTGCCCTATATACATCTATCTATGCTGTCGTCTCTCCGTTGTTGATACCTCCCAGGCCCTCTTTGCGTCGCCATGACTGTTTCTGTCTTGCTATAACTAGCCCGGTGTCTCTGCATTCTCCAGCGTTCTTCTCATCCGACCTGCATCTGCTGCCGTCCTCTGCTCCTGGCCATACACACACCACACCACAAAAACCCTCCCCCCGTACATACTCAACCCGCACCCACATACACCTTATATATACACGCATACATACAGACGACATGGACATGGACCAGGCCTGTCTCAAGGGAATGGACAGCCCGCCGCAGTCGGCAGAGGAAAAGTCCTCCAAGGACGCCGCTCAGAAGGCCAAGGGGCCTCGCAAACGGACAAAGACCGGTTGTCTCAGTGAGTCTAGCTTTATATATATATATATATATATTCAATGTTTTTATATCTTACATCTACTGACAGCTGCTAGCCTGCCGCAAGAGACGCATCAAGTGCGGCGAAGAGAAGCCCCGGTGCAACAATTGCATCAAATCCAAGCGAGAGTGCGAGGGCTACGGCCAGCGAGTCGTCTTCAGACATCCCGTCGGCCCCATCCCCCATCTCGGGCCTATCCGCCAGATCCAGGGCATGGGAGGCATGCCCGGCATGCCCATCATGGCCGGCGCCTTCGGCCATTCCATGCAGCAGCACATTGAGGCCGCCTCTGCCTCCCGGCCCGCCCTGCTGCCCATCGCTCCTCGCCCGTCCTATCACCACGCTCACCCGGACGACCTGTCCCGGCATCATCAGGCCTATTCGTCTGCTGCAGACCCCTATGCTGCCTCGACGCAGCATCATTCCGCCATCAACCCGGACCAGCCGCCGTATACCTGGGACTCGGTCTCGTACAGTGACGGCTCGTACATACCGACTTCCTCCGCCGCCGCTGCCGTCTCTACTGCAGCGGCCGGCTCGGCTCAGCACTACGTCACGTCTACCTCCTCCTCCTCCGCCAGCTATCCGCCCTCCGAAGCCCCCTATCCGCATCAGGAGTATGCATACGAGGACACCACTGCCTGGGAAGACGCAGCCCAGCTGCAGCCCTATGAAGCAGCGGCGGTATATCAGGCCCAGCTCTCACTCCAAGTATGCTCTCCCCTATCCTCCCCTCCTTTTCCTTTATTTTCATTCTCTTCGAGTGCATAGAAGACCAACTAAGCTAACAGGATAGGGATTCAATCCTCCTTCGTCGATAGTCTCGCCAACACCCGAATGTATGGGCACATACCGATTCATAGTAATGTAGCACTGACTAAAAGGTTTCTACGTCCAGATGTTCGGCATGATCATGTTTCTACTACTACTTCTACTTCTACTTCTACTTCTATTACTACTACTTACACTGCTGCTGCTGCTTGCTCTGCTTCTTCTGCTACACTGGTGCCCAAGTTGGAGTCAAAGGAGGCCCTTCTGTTTCCCCCTGCCCCTGATGCTAATGATGCCCCCAATCAATGCCGCCAGCAGCATAGCCTGGTGATGCATGATGTTGGAGAAGAGAGTGATGACTATTTTGATGTCGAGTCAGACGAGGAGCTGGAAGATCAGTTTTCTGCTCCCTCTGCTGCCACTACTACTGCTGCTGCTGCTGCTGCTACAGCTGCTGGTACTGCCTGCTATGCAGTGCCAGGCAAAGGCAGCCTCTACTACCCTTCCTCTGCTCTCGCAGTATCTAATCCGCCCTTTGCGAGTTATATGAATTATGATAATTTATTGGCCACATACCGCCCGTCTCCCTTAACTTCGCCCCTTATCGACCCTGAGGTCGCCAAACTGTTCTCCCACTTCATAGGCTCCATCGGGACCATCATATCCATCTTCGAGCGCAAGCACAGTATCGCCCCTTTGCTCAGCTTCTCTCTCCTGCCGACCGAGCAGCAGAGCCTGTTCACCTATACCCTGCCGACCCTGGCGCTCGAGAACCACGGCCTGCTGCACTCCATCCTGGCCCTGAGCAGCGTTCACCTCGCCTACACCACCGGTCAGTCCTCGACGGCCGCATTCAGACACTACCACTTTGCCCTGCGGCGCATCAGCAAGGCCGTCGGCCTGCCGCACAGGAGGAAGCAGATCCCGACTCTCGCAGCGACCTTGCTGCTCGGCTTCTTCGAAGTCCTCGCCGCCGAGCACTCGAAGTGGTGCAGCCATGTCGCGGGAGCATCGCAGCTGATCCGGGAGATCGACTTTGCCAGCATGACCAGACGCATTCGAGCGATGAGAGCGCGGGCGAGGAAGCAGAAATCCGTGGCCGGCGAGAGGTCGTGGACTCGCGCGGGCGATTTCAGGCTGGACACGTTCTTCGAGAACGACATCTATGCGCCGATCGAGCGGGAGATCGACGTCGATCTCGTCAGTGCGATCATGGGCAGAGACGCCGACTATGATGCGCTGCCCGCTGAGCCCGCAGTTGATCAGCCGCTCACGGCGAAGGATATCGAGGATCACCGCATCCGGACGGACCTCTACTGGCACTATTGCAAGCAGGATCTCTTCCAGAGCCTCATCAGCGGCAACCCCTTACTGTAAGCCTCCCCCCCCTTATTCCACTGTTCTATTCCATTCTCTTCCAGTGTTCTATTCCAGGTCGATGTCCCAATCTAACGAACGGCTGCAGGCTCCCGTACGAGAAATGGGCACAGACTCCTCCTCGCTCGGCCGTTGGCAGGATTCAGACAGCCTACGGGACGATGGACCATCTGCTGCTGCTGCTCGCTCGCATCTCAGCCTTTGGCGTCAGGGACAGGAAGCGCAAACTCAAGGCCATGGAGAAAAACGGGGGGGAATGGCGTCCGCCTCCCAGCATGTTCCCTCCTCCTGCCACTGCCCCTGACGGCCCGCCGTCCAGGCCCAAGCCAGCATCAGCACCACCGCCAGCACCGCCGCCAGCAGGACCACCAGGGCCGGCATCAGGAGCCAGAGGACAGGCAGCAAATCAGGGCAAGAGCCCGCCCATGTACGGGATGCTGCCAGCGGGCCCCGTCAAGCTTTTCTCGGGATTCGCAGCTGCGCCGGGCGCTGGGCCGACACAGCAGACAGCGGCGTCTCCCAGCACCGCCAGCAGCAGCGACGAGACTGATCTAGACATCCGCACGGCGCAAGCAGAGGCCGAGTGGCAAGACATCCTCGCTGCCTGCGAGCGTTTTGAACAGGCCATGGGTCCGGCCTTTGCTCCGTTGCCCCCGGACGGCGCACCTCTGATCACAAGCCCGTTTGGCCCTGCATTGCAGTACCGCACCCACATCATTGGCTGCATCTGGGGGCTCTACTATATGGGCCGTATTATCCTCCATCGCTTCCACCCTTCCATGCCTCCCGCTGCCACCATGGCCGCCGTCGTGGCCGCCCCGACGACAGCCCAGTATGCGCAAAACATCGGTCGTGTGGCTGCCGGGATCCCCTACGACCACCGCCTCAGCAGCACCAGCAGCGCCAGCAGCTATGCGCATCCTTCTTCTTCTTCTTTTTCATCTTCTTGCCCGCCTGCGGGTGCCAGCTCGAATCTAAACGTTACCATCGCCGGGGTGCTGCACGAGCTCACCGTCTGTCTCTTCTTCGCGGCCGTGCAGTACGTCGATCCAGCGCAGCGAGCCTGGACGGTGGCGATGCTACGTGACATATCGATTATCACCGGCAGCAAGTCCCCGATCGCCATTGCCCGGGGCTGCGAGACCTCCTGGATCAAGGCTGCTGAGGCCGGTCGAGGCCCGCCGCACCAGCGCATGGTCTTTGACTTTGACCCCAGCGACGTGTGCAGTCGTGAGGGCGTTGTTCCAGACCACGGCGACGATAGACGCTGGACCGCTGTCCATCGTGGCAGCTCGATTTCATGGGCCATGGGCTTGCTGTCGATTGACGGTGACTATGCCGTGGCTGAGGATAGGCACAACAGGGGCAGCCCGTCGACTTCTACTACGTGACACAGGCCGATCATGACGACAAGGTGATGATACGTTTTTCTTTTTTGATGTACGGAGTACACTGCAGGAGTATTCCTTTCCTGGCACTCTTCACTCTTGTCTTATTCTCTTATCTTCTTCTTTTTTTTTTTTATGTGTTTAACATGTATAATATGACGATGATGATCATGACGATGTTATTCAAGCCTGGAATGATAGTGTCTGCTTTCTTATAACACTTTTCCGTAGCACCATGTAGCTTGTCTGTTCTATAGATATGGGGAAAACATTTGAAAAACGTCAATTTCCCTATAAACATCAACATAGCATGTCATTGACCGTAACTGCGTTTACTTAGTTCATTTCCGAGTACAACATAATCATGAATCTCACTGCACTTGGGGGCCTGCGTTTGGCCTTTTGTTTTTTTTCCCCCTTCCCCCCTTAGATGAGATATCCAATTGCACCATCAAGATTACCGTTTGCTGCGTCGAGGGCCTGTATCGCTTCGTCCCGCGTGAATCCTAGATCAGTTATTTTGGCAATCGAGTCAGCTGGCCAGCGCGAGGCTCGCTGCTGGGGAGCATTAGCAGTAGCAGCAGCAGGAGTGGCAGCGGCAGGAGTAGCGGCAGGAGTAGCAGCAGGAGTGGCAGCAGGACCAGGACGAGGAGCAGGAGAAAGGCCAGGAGACGGGCCAGTAGGCGGTGGACGATGTAAAGAAGTTGGTAGTGCAGGTCTCGGAAAGGCAGCCGTCCCGCCAGCCGCAGCCGGATGCTGTACGGCACCAGTCCTGCCTCCGATAATAGCTCCGTCCGAGCCCCTGACCATTGGCTCGTCTTCAAACTCGTCTTGGTGCTTGGGTATATCGGCTTCATGGAGGAACGGCACCGTCTCATCCCGGATCTTAAGCACCCCCTCTTTCAGGTCTATACAAGCTTGGTGGCGTTTAAGCATGTCTAGGCCAAGAAGGAGATCAATATGCTTCCCATCCATCACCGTGAAGGAACAAGGGAGAAACATGTCCCCGATTTTGATCTCGGCGCAGTGGACACGCCCCAGAATGTCAGCGGTGCCTACACCCTTTGCAATACCGCCATATCGTCGGTCGATTAATCGCATGATATTGCAGGCAGAGGCGCATGCAGGTGACATGATGGTGACCTGGGCACCGGAGTCAACGAATGCCTTCACTTTATGGCCGTTCACCTCCACAGGGATGTACAGCATAGTTACCCGTCCAAATGCTACCCCCCACCGAAGTTAGCATGTCACATAAATATGGCCAAGTTAAATCTATCCCCCGAGTATAATAAATCAACCATTATAAATCATAAAGACGTACCTTCAGGAGTATGCTCCATGGCCGTATGTAGGTTCTCCGTAACAGCATTCTGACGAATAATCTCCTCGATCTCCCGCTGTGCATCGAGGTTGAACGGGTCTGCGTTCAGCATGGCTATTCTGGCCTCCTTTGCAGCCTCGACCCGCGCCTCAGCGCGTCGATGAGACATCATTATCTCTCGAAACCGCCGCGGGTCATCCACGGCAGACGCCAGCTGCGGGTTCTGCTGTCTGACTGCTGCCAGGACCCGTGGATCACCCAACATGTGCAGCCTTATTGTCTCTGGGTCCGGTATCGTCGGCTGCCCCCCGCGTGAAGAGTCCCCTTGCTGTGATGCAGCTCCAGCTCCAGCACCCGAGGGGTTACCCTGGCCTGGTCCGGAGGCCGGAGTTGGTACTCGTATATGCATACCCAGCATGTCGCCTTCGCTTATGCCCAGCTGTCCCAACGGCTTCGACTCGTCTGCCAACGGTCGGTTGTTGTGGAAGAGATGCTGCGACTGAGGGGGGATCTGGATTTCACTCTGTATGACGGCCTTGAGGTCCGCCAGCGTCATGTCCTCGCCGACATCGAGAGTGACAATATCCGAGCTGACGGCCACGTTCGACGCGACAACAGAGACCGTGATGCGCCTGTCGACTCGCTGGTTAGTATGTGGGAAACCCTTGCCAGGCTGGAAGCCACTTACATCTTGCACCAGGTCACGGTAGACGGAGTAGGAGTGAGTGAGTGAGTGTGTGTCTGGAGTGTCTGTCCGGGGGATCTTCCGTATCTTGGTCTCTTGTATATGCTGTGCAGTACCTGGCGGAAGCTCCCTCGGTCGTGGTTGAAGAGGACGAAGAGGATGAAGCGTTATGAAGAGAGAAGCCGAGGTTGGATGTTGAAGTTGACGTTGACGTTGACGCTGAAGGCTTTCTTCCAGGCGCCAAAGGCAGATGACGCAGGCGGCTCTTTTTCCGCGACGACAACGACACCAACTTTCAGCAAAACTCCAGCAGCAAGCAACAACAGCAGCAGCAGCAGCAACTACAACAGCAGCTTGAGCAGCAGCTTGAGCAGGGGCTTGGAGACTGGCGATTCTCAGCTGCGTCCGTCTGGCTGAAGAGCTAGCTGGCAGGTATCTGAGGATGTGATGCGGAGGAGGGCACAAGACAGCGGAAGCAGCGCCTGCAGCTAGTTAAGCAAAAGAACCCGGCGTTATAGCAGGAAGAAAGAAGCCTCTGGCCCTCGAGCAGAAGGGACGGACGGGAGTTTTCTTATACTACTTGCTCTGGAGAGCTCGCTGCCTACGATCAAGCTAACTCTATCGACCAGGTCGGACAAAGGAGACGAAGAAGCAACGGGAAGGGAAGAGAAGCAGACAGCAGGCCGTGAATTAGTAACAGTTCGCGCCCATCCATGCAGTCTGATTCATATTGATTGCCTCCTGCGTCTGCGTGCGAATGCAAGGCCGCCTTTTCTCCTCGACTTTTGCTGCCATCCTCAGATACAAACGGAGGCGGGTGTGGGTTCTATTGGCCGAGGAGGGTGAAACTCGAGAAGCATGCACCCGTTGCTCGTTGCCCTGGATGGGAACACAGCAGCAGAGCAGGCCGTTGCAACAGTCCTGCCCGTCATCCCATTCCATCCCCATCCCGGGATGGTGAACAAACGATTCTCGCGGCCTGCTCTGCTCCTTTCCTTTTTTTCTCCCTTGCTTTGCCCTTTTCGTGCAGCAGGCGGCCCGAGATGCTGCATGTCAACAGGATACGATGCGCCTCCCGTCCTGTATTCGCTCACTCAGGCGGAAGACGCAGGGATGGACTGCGTTTGTCGACCGCAGCTGAGTTGTATATGTCTCACCATTCATGCTATTTGCCGTAGCACTATTCACCAGACGGCGACGCGAGGGGACGAGAAGGGACGGATATCGAAACCTCCTCCCCCCCCCCCCCCGCCGCCGACCATCCCCGTCATGGCTGCATGGTATCACGGCGGGCACTTCCAATAATACCAAAAACTACCTTTCCCACCATGACAGAAAGGGTCAAGATCTAGAGGACGAAGGAAGAGGGGAGCGGACACTACTGGCATCCCTTGTTACTCGCTACCCAGGCTGTTATCAGGCTTCCCTGTACATAGCGGTTGGCGCCTTTTCACCAACCCCGATCACAGCAGGGAGCGGTCTCTCGAGGGCCCAGATACATATCTGCAGGGGGAGAGAAGTGTGATGCTCCACGAAGCCGTGGATCTGCTTAGTTGGACTTTGAACTTACACTAGCTGGATTACTCTTGACTAGTTGCTAGTTGTCTCCAAAGATAGCCAGCACCAGCGGCTCTCGCACAGTGGCTTCTCCGGGCTACTTCCGTTTGCTCAGTTGGTTTTGATATCTTCCCCGGCTTGCAAGAGATTTGAGCTAACGCCGCTTTGCCGCCCACCTTGTTGGCCAAGCGGGTTTCTGTGGCATCTGGTCGGGGACATAGCATGATACTGAGGCAGTCAGCACTCCGTAGAAGTAGGCATAGGTGTACTTCCGTAGACAGCGGCCGCAGAGTATCTACTCCATGAACGTTATAACTAGACCATGTCTATCAGCCGGACTAGACTCATGGACATCTACCTGGAGGATACCTCGTCCTCCGGCGGTCTCCTGCGGTATCCCAAGGTATCTCCCATGTACCGGCGCCAAGGGTAGCGAATTCTATATTTTTTTTGTCTTCCGCAGCAGTGAAAAATTAGTTACGACTCCGGCCGTCCTCAGGACTTCTCGACTTTCGCTCGACTTTCAACCTCCCGTCCTTCCCCCTTGCCAGGCGCATAGACAAATAACCGAAGCAGCACCATCTGCCCTCCTGCCGACAGCCAGCGGCCCCGTCCTCTGCCCTCGAGACGCTCTTCCTCTCAGCCCTATCCCAAGTTTTCCCGCAGTTAGGCTCGGTGCCTCCAGACGCCACAGCTTCGCCAACCCAGCAGATCACCCCTCCACGCCCTTTTTGCCAGCTCGACGTCCAGGGCAGTCCCGCGGAAGATAATAACAACATTACAAAAGGTAGAATCTCCATGCGCTGCGCTGCTGTCTGGAAGCCGGCTGTTTGTTTGCTCGTTGCGTTCGGTCATTGCAATTTACCTGCCTACCTGTGCGCGCATGGGCGAGCGACCCCCCACGGCTTGCCACTTTACACTGTAGATGAAGAGGAAGAGGAATAAAGAGATAATACCGTCTTAGCTTGTGATGCTCGTTCTGTTGTCGCTTTCTGCTGCTGCTTCTTCGTTGCTTTTGCTTCCTTCTTGCTTGCTTAGCCTTGTACAATCTACACTTCCGAATTAAGCGCCGTCCTGCTATTCGCTCTGTTATTTTCTGTCCCAGAAGCCATGCTAACCGCCTTTAAAAGGGACCAGTATCCGCATATCCGCAGCTTGTAACGAGAAGGGAACAGTTGCCGTGGAACCCTGAAGATAACTAGCTGACACTATCATCTCTTCCCTGCGCCGGAGACCCGCTTGCTGGCTGCCTTGAACCACCATGGCTGAAGGCACATCCATATCCGCGACCCCGGCCGACGAAACACACGAGACAAACCCCCCTGCTTTCCACGCCATTCGTCTGAATGACGTCTCAGGCCTTGCAGGTCGGCCTACGCCTATGCCACGGAAACTCTTCCTTAAGCGGCGATCCGAGCTCTTCAACGGGACTGGCGCTAATAGGCTATCGGGAGGTGAGGGGGAAGAGGATGATGACGATGACGACGATGACGACGAGGATGATGATGTTGAAGATATATACCCTAATGGCAGTTCCACCTACGGCACCGACGAGGATGATTTCGTAGCTGTTAACCATTCGGATGCCTCGGATCATCCTTGGTATATGCGGTCCCGGGTACCAGCAAGAAACTCTGAGCTAGCTAAACTCCACCCATATGTGCAGCTGCTCTCCGTCTCGGACCTTGACGACTGTGAAAAGGTCGAACTGGCGTTCCCTGAGTCTGAAAGGTGTTCAAGGGAAAACGTATGACCCTACCCCCCCTGTGTCCCCTGCCACCTTTTCCCTCGAAACATGTTACTAATTAATGAATCCATTCTTAGTTGACTTACCGCCTCTCGAAATGCCCTGAGCTCTCTCTTGGAATCTTCTCCATCCCACCGGCTACTGCAGACAATGAGAAACCAAGGCCCGTGGTCATTGCTCACCTTCTTGCAACGAGAACAACATCGCCTGTGATTACAAATGCGACAATGGGGGTTCCTAAGGACTGGAGAACTAAAAAGTCTACTCTACCAAGCCCGGGCGAAGAGGAGCCTGTCGGTCACCAAGACCAGGGATCTACCATAGCCATCCACTCCCTCGCCGTCCTCCCTGAACACCAGGACAAGGGTCTCGGCAAAATGCTGATAAAGTCCTATATCCAACGCATCCAGGATGCGAAAATTGCTGATCGACTTGTTCTGCTTTCCCATGATCATCTTATTCCGTTTTACACTGGTCTTGGATTTGAGAACGTTGGGCGCAGCAAATGCACTTTTGGTGGCGGGGGCTGGAACGACATGGTATGTGTAGCCCCCTATTCTCTCATCGCTGTCAATCTACTTCAGTTACTGACTTTTATTTAAACAGGTCCTTGATCTCAGCAAGGCTCCCAACTAAGCTTTACAACCGCTGTTTTCCATTCTTGCCTTTTCTATTATTTTGCTGATGGGGGTTTCTGATTTGAGATGGGGGAAACATTGCTCATTCTTGCATCTGGATGGCTTTTGCAATTATTTGGGTGGTCGGTCGGGGTGGTGTGCATGCATCATTATCTATACCTAAACGTGGAGACGGGTGTCCCTAGTGGTGGTTGGAAAAGCAATGCTACGTGTTATGAGATATTATGAACACGCTGCAGACATGAGGGGAGAAAAAGGATGAAACTGTATTATAGCAACAGCAATAATATCACTGTGCAAATACACCGGGGCGCCCTGTAGATTCAACGCTCGTCTTGAGTGTCACCAACCCTTGGACTCTCCAAAGAGCAACAGCCACCTCCCAGGGTTTAGTATGATATTTGGCCACTCACCTCTATGCATGGCCAATAGCTGGATTGTCTCCTCTACTGCGGCCTTCGTAGCCTCCAACAAGCTATTTTGAGGATGTTCAATACTGTTCAATTTGTTGTTGTCGCCATATAAAAAAGGGGAAGTCGTTGGGCTGGCCAATAGGAAGCGGCGATGGAAAGAGACTGCCCGATTATATAATATCACGGAATAAAGATATTCTTTTTCCCGAAAAAATCACGTGAATGGCTAAACTTGCCGATCGAAACTGCCAAGGATGTCGGGAAAAACTTCCGTTTGTGGCTGCAAAAAACCTCCCAAAAAAAAAAAAAAATTAAAAAGTTTCCCACCTTCTGATAAAGACGGGAAATTTTGATTTCAAGAGGAAGAAACAAGAGATTCATCTCGAGCTTCGACCCTGAGATCAAATCACAGAGGGACGATATCTCGAGCTCACCATGAAGACCACTTGGAAGGATGTAAGTAGATTATCTGGTTCATTTCTCTTGTTTCGCACGTCACAGCGTTGATTGATTTTGTCTGCGTGGGAGAAAACGGTATCTAACTGTGCGTTGCCAAACAGATCCAACCGGTGCCCACGCATCAGGAGTTCCTTGATATTGTCCTGAGTCGAACTCAGAGACGGTTGCCAACGCAGATTCGTGCTGGATTCAAAATTAGTCGTATCAGAGGTAGGCTCTTGGATCTATATATATGAAGTGGTTGGTGACCAAGTCGGTTAACGTTACGACAGCATTCTACACGCGAAAGGTCAAATTCACCTCTGAGACTTTCTGTGAGAAGTTTTCGGCAATTCTCGATGGATTCCCAAGGTTGCAGGATGTTCATCCATTCCGTATGATTTTCCCTTCCCTCAAAATAGCTATATTTGGCCCTCGTCAGATGAGTGTTTTCATTGGAAGTGTGCGCTAACCAATCTTTTTCTCCCTGGTCTAGATAAGGATCTTTTAAACACACTGTATGATGCCGACCATTTCAGAATTGCGCTTGGCCAACTGTCGACTGCCAAACGCCTTGTTGAGACCGTTGCCCGAGATCACGTACGCCTGCTTAAATATGCACAGTCTCTTTTCCAGTGTAAACAGCTGAAAAGAGCCGCTCTTGGTCGTATGGCGACTATCTGCAAGCGACTGAAAGACCCACTACTCTATCTCGAACAAGTTCGTCAGCATCTCGGTCGTCTTCCAGCCATCGATCCTAACACCCGAACTCTCCTTATCTGCGGATATCCAAATGTCGGCAAATCCAGTTTCTTGAGAAGTGTTACCAAGGCAGATGTAGACGTTCAGCCATACGCTTTCACTACCAAGAGCTTGTTCGTTGGACATTTCGATTACAAATATCTTCGTTTCCAGGCCATCGACACCCCGGGAATCCTTGATCATCCTCTTGAAGAAATGAACACTATCGAAATGCAGTCGATTACAGCAATTGCGCACTTGAGATCTGCCATTTTGTACTTCATGGATCTTTCAGAACAGTGCGGATACTCGGTTGTCGACCAGATTAAGCTGTTCAACAGCATCAAGCCTCTTTTCTCGAATAAGCTTGTTTTCATCGTCATCAATAAGATTGATGTTATGCGTCCTGAAGATCTTGATCCAGAGACCCAGGAACAGCTACAGGCTCTTCTGAAGTCATCCGGTGTGGAGATGTTGCAACTTTCATGCGCCACAACGGAGGGAGTCACTGCTGTGAAAAACGCAGCTTGCGACAGACTTATTGCGGAACGAGTTGCTCAGAAGTTGAACACTGGCGCAAACAGCTCAGGGACTCCCACAGGACGCTTGGGTGATGTTTTGGCTCGTATTCATGTCGCCCAGCCCATTGGTGGTGTTCGCGAGACCTTCATCCCTGAAGCTGTCAAGAACCTCAAGAAATACGATAAAAATGATCCAAACAGACGCAAACTCGCAAGAGACATTGAGGAAGAAAATGGAGGTGCTGGTGTTTATAGCTTCGATATGAAGGAAAGCTACCTTCTCGCTAACGATGAGTGGAAACATGACAAGATGCCTGAATTATGGGAAGGAAAGAATATTTATGATTTTGTTGATCCCGACATTGAAGAAAAATTGGCACAGTTAGAAGAGGAGGAAGAGAAACTAGAGGCAGAGGGATACTATGACTCCGACGAGTCCGTGGAAGATGCCGACGAGGCTGAAATTCGCATGAAAGCGGACCTGATCAGGGAGAAGCGAGCGTTGATTATGAATGAGTCAAAGTTGAGGAAGTCTCTGAAAAACCGCGCACTCATCCCACGAAGCTCGCGGAGCAAGAAACTATCGGATATGGAGAAGCATCTTGACTCAATTGGATACGATGCAACCGCTTCCTCCGCCCGTGCCAAAGCCCAACCAGAATCCCGTGGCCGCACTGCGACCAGAGATGAACCCGATGCCATGGACCTTGATACCCCAGAGACACAGCACGATGCGCTCCGACGCGCTGTTAGCCGTGCACGAAGCCAAGCAGCTACCAACCGCCGTGTGGATGGTGTTACTAGCTTGACAAGCAGGTCTAATGCGGAGAAACTCATGAAGCTCGGCCAAAAGCAAATGAACCGTATGGCCAGACAGGGTGAAGCTGACAGACATACTCCTGCTTCTCTACCCAAGCACTTGGTATTTGTTCTTTCTCGTTTCTATTACTTTAAACATCTCTAACTCTTTCTCTTCTTTAGTTTACTGGCAAGCGTTCTATTGGCAAGACTCAACGACGTTAAAGAAATTCAAGTTGATGCTATTTCTTTCCAGGCTCCATATCTTCATTATCTAATGCCTTGTTTTCCAATGACGAGATGACAGTCCTTGTTTTGCTTTCTTTTTAAATTCGGAAGAACCCCTGGAGTTAGAGTTAGCGGCGTTAGGTGGCTGTGATTTCCTTCC